AGGAAATAATAAATTTTATTTATTTTAACATACTTTTATCAATTTACAAAAAATTATTAGGGTGACTGTTTCTTAAATAAATTCTATATGTTTACAATTGCGGTTAAAGGCTTTTACTAACAACTTTATTTCTTTTAAATAAATAAAGTTGTTAGTAAAAGATATATATATATATATATATATAAAGTTAGTAAAAGATATATATATATATATATATATATATATATATAAATATATGTATATATATATATATATCTATATATATATATATATATATATATATATATAATATATATATATATATATATCTATATATATATATATATATATATATATATATATATATATATATATATATATATATATATATATATATATATATATATATATATATATATATATATATATATAAATATATATATATAAATAGTAATGTTTAAAAACTGACCTTAGGCGGAAAAACTGCCAATTTCCATTCTCTTGTAGGAAGCTTAAAAAGAGTTTTTTAAGAACTTTTTTTTTAACTCCAATTTAATTATTTAAAGTAGTACTTAACAAATTAACTTAATTAGCAATATAGTGATTTTTATTTTTCAGCGGAAACACTACTAATAATGTTCCTGATATAAAAAATATATTGATATTGTTCTAATCTTGTTACTAATTATAGAATCACTTTATTGAAATATATATAAATATATAAAAAGAAAGAATAATAAAACTATTAGTTACCTAACATCATCGAAAACATGGTTAACTTATAGAAAACATGGTATTTAGTGCAAAATGTTAAAACTTTACATGTATCATTTAAATAAAATTCATATGATTATCTTTTATGTGATTTACGAACAACTTTTTCATCGCATGTTCAAGAATGATTTTAACAATAAAATCGGCAGTCTTTAAAACTGTTGATATTATGAATGATTGTTTAGCAGCTGAATAAATAACTATTAAAATAAACTAACTACTCTGCGTTAATTCACTAAAGTAAATATATTGTCTACTGTTAGAGGTTAAATAGCGCCACTATCGTTTTTCAAATACTTTAAAGTTAACGTTTATTTAAAATGTATCACATAGTAAATAAATACATTTCCTTTCGCGTCAAAATTCATTTAGTCAGTGATTTGTTTGAAAATTACTTTAAATATTATGACAAAATAAAAATTTAATTTAAAGGAAAATAATAAATTTTATTTATTTTAACATACTTTTATCAATTTACAAAAAATTATTAGGGTGACTGTTTCTTCAATAAATTCTATATGTTTACAATTGCGGTTAAAGGCTTTTACTAACAACTTTATTTCTTTTAAATAAATAAAGTTGTTAGTAAAAGATATATATATATATATATATATATATAAAGTTAGTAAAAGATATATATATATATATATATATATATATATATTATATATATATATATATATATATATATATATATATATATATATATATATATATATATATATATATAAATATATATATATAAATAGTAATGTTTAAAAGCTGACCTTAGGCGGAAAAACTGCCAATTTCCATTCTCTTGTAGGAAGCTTAAAAAGAGTTTTTTAAGAACTTTTTTTTTAACTCCAATTTAATTATTTAAAGTAGTACTTAACAAATTAACTTAATTAGCAATTAAGTGATTTTTGTTTTTCAGCGGAAACACTACTAATAATGTTCCTGATATAAAAAATATATAGATATTGTTCTAATCTTGTTACTAATTATAGAATCACTTTATTAAAATATATATAAATATATAAAAAGAAAGAATAATAAAACTATTAGTTACCTAACATCATCGAAAACATGGTTAACTTATAGAAAACATGGTATTTAGTGCAAAATGTTAAAACTTTACATGTATCATTTAAATGAAATTCATATGATTATCTTTTATGTGATTTACGAACAACTTTTTCATCGCATGTTCAAGAATGATTTTAACAATAAAATCGGCAGTCTTTAAAACTGTTGATATTATGAATGATTGTTTAGCAGCTGAATAAATAACTATTTAAATAAACTAACTACTCTGCGTTAATTCACTAAAGTAAATATATTGTCTACTGTTAGAGGTTAAATAGCGCCACTATCGTTTTTCAAATACTTTAAAGTTAACGTTTATTTAAAATGTATCACATAGTAAATAAATACATTTCCTTTCGCGTCAAAATTCATTTAGTCAGTGATTTGTTTGAAAATTACTTTAAATATTATGACAAAATAAAAATTTAATTTAAAGGAAATAATAAATTTTATTTATTTTAACATACTTTTATCAATTTACAAAAAATTATTAGGGTGACTGTTTCTTCAATAAATTCTATATGTTTACAATTGCGGTTAAAGGCTTTTACTAACAACTTTATTTCTTTTAAATAAATAAAGTTGTTAGTAAAAGATATATATATATATATATATATATATATAAAGTTAGTAAAAGATATATATATATAAATATATATATATAAATATATGTATATATATATATATATATATATATATATATATATATATATATATATATATATATATATATATATATATATATATATATATATATATCTATATATATATATATATATATATATATATATATATAAATATATATATATAAATAGTAATGTTTAAAAACTGACCTTAGGCGGAAAAACTGCCAATTTCCATTCTCTTGTAGGAAGCTTAAAAAGAGTTTTTTAAGAACTTTTTTTTTAACTCCAATTTAATTATTTAAAGTAGTACTTAACAAATTAACTTAATTAGCAATATAGTGATTTTTGTTTTTCAGCGGAAACACTACTAATAATGTTCCTGATATAAAAAATATATTGATATTGTTCTAATCTTGTTACTAATTATAGAATCACTTTATTGAAATATATATAAATATATAAAAAGAAAGAATAATAAAACTATTAGTTACCTAACATCATCGAAAACATGGTTAACTTATAGAAAACATGGTATTTAGTGCAAAATGTTAAAACTTTACATGTATCATTTAAATAAAATTCATATGATTATCTTTTATGTGATTTACGAACAACTTTTTCATCGCATGTTCAAGAATGATTTTAACAATAAAATCGGCAGTCTTTAAAACTGTTGATATTATGAATGATTGTTTAGCAGCTGAATAAATAACTATTTAAATAAACTAACTACTCTGCGTTAATTCACTAAAGTAAATATATTGTCTACTGTTAGAGGTTAAATAGCGCCACTATCGTTTTTCAAATACTTTAAAGTTAACGTTTATTTAAAATGTATCACATAGTAAATAAATACATTTCCTTTCGCGTCAAAATTCATTTAGTCAGTGATTTGTTTAAAAATTACTTTAAATATTATGACAAAATAAAAATTTAATTTAAAGGAAATAATAAATTTTATTTATTTTAACATACTTTTATCAATTTACAAAAAACTATTATGGTGACTGTTTCTTCAATAAATTCTATATGTTTACAATTGCGGTTAAAGGCTTTTACTAACAACTTTATTTCTTTTAAATAAATAAAGTTGTTAGTAAAAGATATATATATATATATATATATATATATATATAAAGTTAGTAAAAGATATATATATATATATATATATATATATATATATATATATATATATATATATATATATAAATATATGTATACATATATATATATATATATATATATATATATATATATATATATATATATATATATATATATATATCTATATATATATATATATATATATATATATATATATATATATATATATATATATATATATATATGTATATATATATATATATATATATATATATATATATATATATATATATATATATATATATATATATATATATATATATATATATATATATATATATAAATATATATATAAATAGTAATGTTTAAAAACTGACCTTAGGCGGAAAAACTGCCAATTTCCATTCTCTTGTAGGAAGCTTAAAAAGAGTTTTTTAAGAACTTTTTTTTTAACTCCAATTTAATTATTTAAAGTAGTACTTAACAAATTAACTTAATTAGCAATTAAGTGATTTTTGTTTTTCAGCGGAAACACTACTAATAATGTTCCTGATATAAAAAATATATAGATATTGTTCTAATCTTGTTACTAATTATAGAATCACTTTATTAAAATATATATAAATATAAAAAGAAAGAATAATAAAACTATTAGTTACCTAACATCATCGAAAACATGGTTAACTTATAGAAAACATGGTATTTAGTGCAAAATGTTAAAACTTTACATGTATCATTTAAATAAAATTCATATGATTATCTTTTATGTGATTTACGAACAACTTTTTCATCGCATGTTCAAGAATGATTTTAACAATAAAATCGGCAGTCTTTAAAACTGTTGATATTATGAATGATTGTTTAGCAGCTGAATAAATAACTATTTAAATAAACTAACTACTCTGCGTTAATTCACTAAAGTAAATATATTGTCTACTGTTAGAGGTTAAATAGCGCCACTATCGTTTTTCAAATACTTTAAAGTTAACGTTTATTTAAAATGTATCACATAGTAAATAAATACATTTCCTTTCGCGTCAAAATTCATTTAGTCAGTGATTTGTTTGAAAATTACTTTAAATATTATGACAAAATAAAAATTTAATTTAAAGGAAATAATAAATTTTATTTATTTTAACATACTTTTATCAATTTACAAAAAATTATTAGGGTGACTGTTTCTTCAATAAATTCTGTATGTTTACAATTGCGGTTAAACGCTTTTAATAACAACTTTATTTCTTTTAAATAAATAAAGTTGTTAGTAAAAGATATATATATATATATATATATATATAAAGTTAGTAAAAGATATATATATATATATATATAAATATATGTATATATATATATATATATATATATATATATATATATATATATATATATATATATATATATATATATATATATATATATATATATAAATAGTAATGTTTAAAAACTGACCTTAGGCGGAAAAACTGCCAATTTCCATTCTCTTGTAGGAAGCTTAAAAAGAGTTTTTTAAGAACTTTTTTTTTAACTCCAATTTAATTATTTAAAGTAGTACTTAACAAATTAACTTAATTAGCAATTAAGTGATTTTTGTTTTTCAGCGGAAACACTACTAATAATGTTCCTGATATAAAAAATATATAGATATTGTTCTAATCTTGTTACTAATTATAGAATCACTTTATTAAAATATATATAAATATATAAAAAGAAAGAATAATAAAACTATTAGTTACCTAACATCATCGAAAACATGGTTAACTTATAGAAAACATGGTATTTAGTGCAAAATGTTAAAACTTTACATGTATCATTTAAATAAAATTCATATGATTATCTTTTATGTGATTTACGAACAACTTTTTCATCGCATGTTCAAGAATGATTTTAACAATAAAATCGGCAGTCTTTAAAACTGTTGATATTATGAATGATTGTTTAGCAGCTGAATAAATAACTATTTAAATAAACTAACTACTCTGCGTTAATTCACTAAAGTAAATATATTGTCTACTGTTAGAGGTTAAATAGCGCCACTATCGTTTTTCAAATACTTTAAAGTTAACGTTTATTTAAAATGTATCACATAGTAAATAAATACATTTCTATTCGCGTCAAAATTCATTTAGTCAGTGATTTGTTTGAAAATTACTTTAAATATTATGACAAAATAAAAATTTAATTTAAAGGAAATAATAAATTTTATTTATTTTAACATACTTTTATCAATTTACAAAAAATTATTAGGGTGACTGTTTCTTCAATAAATTCTATATGTTTACAATTGTGGTTAAACGCTTTTAATAAAAACTTTATTTCTTTTAAATAAATAAAGTTGTTAGTAAAAGATATATATATATATATATATATATATATATATATAAAGTTAGTAAAAGATATATATATATATATATATATATATAAAGTTAGTAAAAGATATATATATATATATATATATAAATATATGTATATATATATATATATATATATATATATATATATATATATATATATATATATATATATATAAATAGTAATGTTTAAAAACTGACCTTAGGCGGAAAAACTGCCAATTTCCATTCTCTTGTAGGAAGCTTAAAAAGAGTTTTTTAAGAACTTTTTTTTTAACTCCAATTTAATTATTTAAAGTAGTACTTAACAAATTAACTTAATTAGCAATTAAGTGATTTTTGTTTTTCAGCGGAAACACTACTAATAATGTTCCTGATATAAAAAATATATAGATATTGTTCTAATCTTGTTACTAATTATAGAATCACTTTATTAAAATATATATAAATATAAAAAGAAAGAATAATAAAACTATTAGTTACCTAACATCATCGAAAACATGGTTAACTTATAGAAAACATGGTATTTAGTGCAAAATGTTAAAACTTTACATGTATCATTTAAATAAAATTCATATGATTATCTTTTATGTGATTTACGAACAACTTTTTCATCGCATGTTCAAGAATGATTTTAACAATAAAATCGGCAGTCTTTAAAACTGTTGATATTATGAATGATTGTTTAGCAGCTGAATAAATAACTATTTAAATAAACTAACTACTCTGCGTTAATTCACTAAAGTAAATATATTGTCTACTGTTAGAGGTTAAATAGCGCCACTATCGTTTTTCAAATACTTTAAAGTTAACGTTTATTTAAAATGTATCACATAGTAAATAAATACATTTCCTTTCGCGTCAAAATTCATTTAGTCAGTGATTTGTTTGAAAATTACTTTAAATATTATGACAAAATAAAAATTTAATTTAAAGGAAATAATAAATTTTATTTATTTTAACATACTTTTATCAATTTACAAAAAATTATTAGGGTGACTGTTTCTTCAATAAATTCTATATGTTTACAATTGTAGTTAAAGGCTTTTACTAACAACTTTATTTCTTTTAAATAAACGTCACTTAAATAATAATAGAAAAAAAATTAAATAACTTTAAAATATAAAAAAATCTGCATTAAACACAGATGCTGAGTGCGTAGCCAATTCGAGTTATCGCCGAAAAAACACAAGCTGCATAATACTTTTTAGCATGGCTCATAAATATATATATATATATATATATATATTTATATATATATATATATATATATATATATATATATATATATATATATATATATATATATATATATATATATATATATATATATATATACCCATATAGTTTAGCTTTAAGAGCTTTTTAATGTAAAAAAAGTCTCTTACGACTACAATTTTAATTACCTCGTCTCCTAAGCTGTTTTTGATTGTCATCGAAATGTCAAAGCAATTAATTTATGCGGAAGTACATTAAACTTAATTGTTTTTTAAAAAATTTTTAAAAAACCGCAATTATAACGACTAGAAAGTTTTTTTTAATTAGTGGTGTTTTTGTTATTGATTTAATAAAAAACATTTTTAAAACATGCGCAAATGTTGCTACATCGACTATCTTACAGCCTGACTCGCAACGGAGTGCTGCTACATCGACTGACAAATAGCCTGACTCGCAAAGGAGTGTTGCTACATCGACTGACAAATAGCCTGACTCGCAACGGAGTGCTGCTACATCGACTGACAAATAGCCTGACTCGCAAGGGAATGCTGCTACATCGACTGACAAATAGCCTGACTCGCAAGGGAGTGCTGCTACAACGACTGACAAATAGCCTGACTTGCAAGAGAGTGCTGCTACATCGACTGAGGGTTTGGTTTGGCCAGGCAGTCTATCAATTAAAAAAAAAAAATTTAATTTTTAAAACTTTTTCTAGACTGGTTTATTAACGCGCTCTTTAAAACTACAGTTTATGGGAAACTTTTTTTGATGCCACGCAAGAGACATGCAAGAGTATATATATATATATATATATATATATATATATATATATATATATATATATATATATATATATATATATATATATATATATATATATATTTATATATATATATATATATATATATATATATATATATATATATATATATATATATATATATATATATATATATATATATATATCTTTATATATGAATGGATATATATATATATATATGTATGTATATATATATTTGTATATATATATATATATATATATATATATATATATATATATATATATATATATATATATATATATATATATATATATATATATATATATATATATATATATATATATATATATATATATATATATATATATATATATATATATATATATATATATACTTTACTAAATGAACATTAGGTGGCTTTTTCTTACGTAAATTTTGTACATTAGGGAGACACTTACAATAAGGCGACAATTTCGTGTCGCCTTAACGTTTCTCTGTAATTTTTTAGAAAATTTAATAATGCTGTGGACATAATTTTTTTTTTCGGAATACTTTATGAAATAATGATCCAATTTTTTTTTATCCTAGCGGTTCTTATATTTTAAAACTTTTTTTTTTTTAGTTTTAATTATTTACTTATATATCTTGCCGTTATAAATAACTGAACATAAGGGCGACACAAGCTTATTTGTAAAAAAGTACCATAAATCTTTTTTATATCTTTATTATATTTTTTCTAGTATGGTTTTAATGTTAGATTTTTAAAATAGACCACTTTTTTTGTTGATATACCGTTTCGCTTCTTTGGAAATAAACTTTTTTTTTTTTTCGACAACAAATGTCTCCTTTAAGTATCATTTTTTCGTTATTTGCATATGCTGATAAAAACCGAAGCAAAAATCAAAGAAGCTATTACACAGTGCAATAGCCGTTGAGGACATTAAATTGGAATTATAGGAAGTTATTATTTTTTTTTTTTAGTAATAAATTTTTTATGACAGAAATACTATTTGCCAGTTTAGTTCCTAAAATTGCGAAAGGTTTATTGAATTACGTAAAAAATTGAAATGAAAAAAACTTATATACTTAGAAACAAATTAAAAATTTATTTAACGTAAAAAAAAAAAAAATTCTACTCGATAAAAACTGCAACTCTGACATTAAAAAGACAGGGACAATATAAAAGAAATAATTGGCAACAATAAAACTAACTTGTATAAATAACAAAAAAAAATGAATATTCAAAATGTTTAAAATTATTTAGTCAAATCGTTATAAACCAAATAGATTGGATAAAAAAAGCCTTAGAATAGAATAAAGGGAGAACCCAGACCATTTCGTAAAGGGGCGGTTTAATTTTTTTTTTAGATTTAAGGAAGCAGACAATCTAGTAAGGAAGGAGGGGGAAGGGGGTTATTTTCAGACTTAATGATTTGTAAGCAAGTAATCACACAATTTGGAACTTGCACCATATAATTTTTTTAAATCTATAATTTTATTTAGACGGGCTGTCTAAGACAGCCTAAATATATTATTTTCGTTTTCAATCAACTTGCTGTGTTTAATATAAAAACTTACAAAATTAAAAAATTTAAAAGTTTTTAAAGGGAGGGAAGAGGGCAATTTCCCCGATGCCTCCCCTATGGGTCCGCTCTTGTAATAGAGCAGGATTGAAAAGTTTGTTTTTTCAAAAGGAATGACCTTTGTGAACTAAATTTGAAATTAAAGAAAAACTAAACTTAAATTATTCAGATGAGGCCAATAGTATTTTTTATGCTACCTATATAATACCAACTTAGTTTCAGGTAAAAATATTTATGTGGAATATTAAATTTTTTGTTATAACAATTGAAACTTGTGTCGTGGAAGAAACGTGTCTATTGCTAAAAATTATAAATTTTACTAACTACCTTAACTCATATCGAATTTAGATATTTATAAGTTTATTATAATTTGAATTAGATATTTAAAGGATGATGAGACTTCTAAGTCTTCTCGAGTTTCTTCGACAACATAATATTGAAAAAGGTTATTTAATATTTAATGCATACAACCAACTTTACATCATGATTTTTCATTTATCTGTCAAAAGCTTTTAATACAGTATTATACTAATAAAATAAAATTGAATAATACTAAATAAAAATAGCTTACTTTGATTTAAAAGGTATTTAACAAATAAAAATCAACAAATATTTCCGGATGCCGTAATTTTTGCAAGTTTATCCAAATCGTTGTTGTTCCGAGTGTAGGTAAATGATTAATATCAGTGTAGATAAATGATTTATATCAGTTTTGACTTCTACTTGACTTCCTCAGAAGTTGGCAGCTGTCTCACAATAAATTTTTTGCGGCAAAATATTCTGTTACCCGCCTCAAGTGGCTTCCGCCTCTATTGGTGCCACAGTTTTTACATGCAAAATGTTTTTTTTCAAAATAAGGCCGACACCAATACGGAGGCGGAAACCTTTAGTGGGCACCTCAAGAAAAAGTTTGTTTTTAAGTTAACAAGCAATTTAAAGGTTAATTTAGGGCAAATATTAAAAATTGAACCTCAGTTGCGATTTATATGGTTCATTATCGAACTTTTAAGTATATTTAATTAAAATTAGAATTTTGTCAAAATAGTTTTGTTTTGTCAAAAAAAAAAAAAAAAAAATTTTTTGACAACAAATTTGTAACAAATTTGTAGTTTCAATTCGTATTTTTATTTATATTTAAATTTTTAACATTCGTATACAATATGAATGTTAAAAATTATAAATTTCATTTCTATATTTTAGGGAAAAAAAACATTTAGGAAAATATAAGTTTATAACTAGAGGAAAGTCGGGTAGACCCGGACGGCGGATAACTCCGGACACTTGATGTACAGCTTAAACTAAAGAAGCTATGTGACTTTTAATACTATAATAACATTATTTTAGTGAATATGGCATATGCAAAATATCTATCATAATATGTCGAAACGAATGACTGGGAGGGCAAGATTTTGTTTCCCACCTCCAGAAGAGCGATGTATCATCATATTTGATTCACATATTAACATATCTAATTTTTATGTAAACTAATAACTTTTTAATGATTAAACATTTTTATTTACAACAGTTATTAGAAAAAAATTTAGTTTAAAACTTTAATTCACTGGTTTTAAAACTAGTATTTGTGAATGAGGTATGATCGGTTGGTATCGAACACATGTTAAGGAGGGTGGCTCCGGACAACTTAATACGTTTACATATTAATAATATACAACTTTTTTTATATAAATATTAATACATTTAAAATAATACGCAACCTATAATAGTAATTCATTTAATTCCAATAAAAAAAAACATTACATTTGAAAAAAGTGTTATTAAGATACACAATAATTATTTTTTTCTTTCTAAACCGATAGATGAATGTTTGAACTTTTAAAAAAAGTCTTTTGACACTTTGTTTTCTGTTAGCACATTTGTATTTCTATACACTTTCCTGAAGTGTCTGGGGCTACCCGACTCTCCCCTATATTTAAAATTTTTAACTTTAATCATTAAATATTGTAAAAATAATTGAAAAATACAACATTTATTATTCATTTATTATATAAAATTAACTTATTTAGATGTTGGCAGGGCTGGTGCAAGTAGATGTCACGCGGGTGTGTGTGTGTGTGTGTGTGTGTGTGTGTGTGTGTGTGTGTGTGTGTGTGTGTGTGTGTGTGTTAGAGATGTCAATAAAATCTTTGTCAACAGTTTAAAGATAATTCTCGTTTTCAAAATTTGCCGACTGACTGCTCTTAAAGGGCTATTTTTGCCGACTGAATTGTCGAAGCGGGTTGAATTTGCCTACAAAACGAACAAAAAATTCATTGACGGAAGAGGTGTCGCGCCGACCTTAGATATCATCTTAAATTGAATTTTTTCAATAATAAAATTTTTAACGAAAACTCAGCTTTTTTAAAAAATTAAAA